CTGTAAAGATATTTATTTCTAATCTGGAATTTGTATTTCATTGTTTTTAAGAGAAACAGCAAAGTTAGTCCAAGGAATTTTATCAAGTTGCTGTTTGTTGTGAGAAGATCAAAAGAAAAGGAGAATAACGTGACATGGTCAATTTATCATAAAGAAAAAAAAAATGACTTGATATTTTTAAATCTTTCAGTGTAATGTGATAAAAAATAAAAATAAAAATTAAACTGAGGGAATTATAAAACACATATAAAAACAAAAATATATAAATAAATAAAAGAAGCTGTACTTATTCATAAATGTAAATTAATAACTATTGTAATTAGAATTTTTTACAATTTTTTATTTAAATTGATATAGCTGCTAATATAAAAAATAAAGTAATGTATGTTTTCTCTATGTTCTTTTTAATGTAGTTTTGTGGTATTCTTCTCTCTTAATTCAATTGTTGCAAGATACTTATTTCCATATATCAGATGCGTGCAACGCATAAGAATATGTACACATGAAATACAAAATAAATACGTGCATATTACACACACACATATATATACAGAGTTAGAGAATGGTTAAATGATAATATGATTAATTTGCATGCACGGAGATAATTGCTATATTGTTTCAATGCAAGGAAAAAAATTATTCTCACCAAAAACTTAATTACTTAAAATTCACATTAACAAGTACTGTTTATATATATATATATATAAAATTAAATCACCAAATAGATTATAGTTTAGGGGCATAATAATTGCCATCATAATTCAATTCCTAGGGAAATTAAATGGGTTTAGGAGAATAACATGACATCATCAATTGATTATTTTTTAATCTTTCGTTATTGATTTGTTAAACCGAGAAAAGACAAAAATTATATGAATATATAAATAAAAAGAAAATAAGGTTTAATTATTTATAAATGCAAATTAATAACTATAATTAACTGTAACCATCAAAGTAGTTCACCTACGTAAATTAGTTGTATTTCTTAATTAATGTTAAACCGACCCCCCACCACACTTCTCGTTCACAAACTTAATGCTCAATGATTATGTAGCTGACTGCTCCAAATTATTTATTTATCATTCAATTTGCAATTTGAAAATATTAATTTATTAATATATTATTGCTACGAACATAAAATATATATATATTTTTACTCGTGTATACCTACCTTATTTATATTTTTCAGAAAAATAAAAAAGAATAATATAACATATATATATATATATATATAATCATGTTTCTTCGCGGGAGAAACTAAAAGAAGCTTCTATTATTGAAAACGTAATGAGTGATAATCCTATCCAACCTCATAAATATTGTTGATTCATTCAATCATCTTTATTGACTTTGATTCATTCAATCAGACGGTTGTGGATTAAATTTTGTAATTGACTCCCTTATCCCTACTTCAATTTCATTAAAGCCTGTCTGTGTTAAAGAGTTCAAAGGTCTGGGGTTCACAATACCAGCGAAGAACAAGTCATTGCAGAGCATGTGAGCTTCACATAATATAAATTTTCTATATTTTTAAATCTAAAATAATGTCACAGTTTTAAGTAGATAACTCATTTAATTAATTATATAATTCATTTTAACAAAAGCCATTAATTACATTTAATTTAAAAACGTAAAAATAATTACAAAAATATTAAGAAGTAACCAACGCGTACTAAAATATACATTAACATTATATTATCAATTCTATAATGCTGATTACTTCCAAAATGTATTTCTTAGTCAAAACTAGTTTTAAAATCAAAGATTCCTTGTTTTTTTTTTAATAATAATCCTGATTATTTAGAGAATTAATTGATGTTTAGTTTGTAATTAAAATTAAGTGGGTTTTTGAGGTTGCAGAAAGTCAAAACAGAGATTTGCGATGACGTCGTAACCTGGGAATTAAAAAGAGACTTGTCAATTGTGTGGATGGATTTTCATAAACTAAAAATCAAACAGTAATTACATCAAGTCATTAGAAAGTCAACAAAGGAGACTGGATTGGGTGACTAAACTACCCATAAAAAAAAAAAAAATAAGTACATAAAAACACTTACATAATAAGTATTGTCATGTATATACAAACATTAGTTCGTGCATGATTTTTAAATATTTAATATATAGTTTTTATTATTTAATTTTATCGTTATAATATATTAATAAGTTACATTAATGTAAAAATGGGTATGATGGTTGATTACGTTAGAAGCAACTGCAAAAGATAGAAGCTGAATATTTGTAAGAGTTGCCATAATTGGATGCCTTGCACCGTATGTATGTATATTGTGTATGGTATGGTAAGGTAATAATGTACTTTTTAATAAAATATTAAAATTAACATTATTATATCTTTATTTTTTTGGCAACCTGTCTATTTTTTATGCGTCATAATGTTTTTGGACCAATCCATTTTTGTCACGCATTAAGTTATATACATATTTTAGTTTTGGACGCATCTTCTCCATTAATTACCTCTCCATTTTATAATCCTATTTATACAACAAACAAGGCCCGAGATTTGCAGTATCCTACACCTATTCTAGCTTCTACATATTAGCTATGCCTTGCATAGGCCCCTATATATATAGATATTTATACACAATACTCTTTTAAACCATTTATGCTTCTTAATTTATGGGTGAGCAAATCTAACATTAGTCTATATAAGATTGATTTTAGAATGAGATAATCCATAAAAAATATATATATATATATATAATATTTTAAAAAATTTTGAAATTCACCCTTTCATTATTTTTTTTTGTTTTAAATATATTTTGAATTTTTAAATTTTTTAATAAATTTTTATTATTAATAATATATTTAATACTGTTAAATAGATATTTATTTAACAAATTACGTATTAAAAATTAGATTTTAAAAATATTAACAGTATTTATGATACTGTAAATAATATATTAGTAATGATATAATCAATGATATAATAATATTTTTAAAACTTGATAAATGATGTTAGATACAATGTTAATAATAATGATATATTCGAACAAAATATAAAATAATATGCTGTATTTGAAATTAAAAATAATTTTGAATTTTTATAATATATTATCCCATTTCAGAATTCTATTTTAATTTTCAAATATACTTAGAATTATGTTTAAAATTTTACTTGAATTTAAGTAGTTTTAATGAGATTATATGTGCTTTTAGATAAATAATTAATTGAATTTAAGTGGTTTAATGGGATTATAAATGCTTATATATGCAGAAACGTCTACCTGCTGACTTGGAATAAGATTAGGATAAAATCAAATCTCTATATTTATAAATTACATTTTTTTTAAATAATAATTTATTTTTATATTAAATAGTTAAATTAAAAATTAATTTTCTATCTTATAGTCTTTTTTTTTGTTTATTTTGAAACAACAAAAAAAAAAAACTTTTTAAAAAATTAAATTGGAAAACACTCATAATTGTCTGCATATCTTTACATAAATCTAATTAATTATATAAATGTAATATATTAGGCATTAACTTTTGAGACGTCACGTTTACTGTATATTTGTATATAGTATATGTTTGTCGTGCTTAATATTACATAGTCTGTGTGTGTGTGTATATATATACATACAAAAAGAATTAATATATAAAAATTATTAGAAAATAAACAAGGCAGGATTGTTATAATTACAATTATTATTATTTTGTTTAGGAAATTTAATTAATTAAAAAATAAGAAGAAAGAATAAATAAATAAATAAATAATACAGTATTGGATTGAGGACACACGGAAGGGGACAAAGACAGCGGGAGATGCAACACCATAATGAATAATGAATGAATACGCGACCCAGACATGCCTCTTCCTCTGTCTTTATAATATTCTTCCACATTATAAAAACCCACTTCGTATATATATCCATCAATTTATTTTTAAATTTAATTCTTTTTTAAAAAAATTATATATTTTGAAATAATTATAGTAGAAATCATATAATAACATCTATATTTATAGCCTTGAGGGGGGATACTTTTTTTACCACTGACATATATGTGTGTGTATATATATATATATATATATATATATATATATATATATAATGGGAGGAACATGCTACAAGACATTACATGCACAAACGAGAACACCCTTCATAATGATCTTTCCAGTCTCCATCTCTTCCAAGAAATATATATATATATATATATATATAATTGATATTGTCTCCCATCTGAATTATTAAATGAAATTAGACTTCCACGTTGCGAATCAAACAAAGGATTAATTTGTATAACTTGCACATAACCCAAAGAAATACTAGTTTCTTTCTTGGACACCAACTTTTTCTGAATTGCATGTGGAGTGGTTACAAGTCTAAAGCTACATGTATACATATACATATACATATACATATACATATACATACACATATATGTGAGATTTGAATCTGGGTCCTTGCTCATTTCATCCCCAAAAAAGAAATTAATTTTTGTTTAAAAAAAGATGGATGAGAACAGAATCTGTGGATCCTACACGAAAAAGAATAAAATGGTTTTTCTCACCAACATACCACTTCCTCATGTGCTTCAATGCCAACGCTATCCAACGTGAACAAGAGACTTCCTCACATGCTCCCTCTTGCTTTCTTCTTCTTCTTAATTAATCACAATTACCAAATTAATTTATGAATCTTACTTTGGATCTAACCACTTCTAATCTCCTCACATCTTTTTCTCAAAAAATATATATATATATATATGAATTCAGGAAATTCTGTGGTATGGACATGGATGGATGTTCTTTGCTGGAGACAAGCTTCGACATCTACATACCTGAATCAAGAAAGATGAGACACCAATTTTCTTACCATACTACTAGCAAATTTTATCTCTGAATTTGTCAGAGCTGCAGATAGTTTAATAGGGACGTGAAATTTCATTCGAGTTTTTCCTCTTTGATTTGATTTGATTCGATTTCGTGATGTCAGTCTTCTTTACTATGTCTTTCAAATAAGGATTTCATGTACCACACAGTATAACCAATCTGAAAACTCACCTTGCATTGATATATATCTGAGTTTTCTCTCTTTTTTTTTCTTTTTTTTTTTTTTACTTATGTACAAGTTACAGTATGTGATCAAAGGGAATCTCAAAGACTTTCTTCTTCAACCTCCGGTGAGCTTTTTGCTCACCAGGGTGACTCACTTCTTTCCAAATTACTTAAATTTACACTTCAAACCAAAACCTAATTCCTCACTCTTACACCTCTCCATCACAAAATTTACCATCCATCTGGTTCTGAACAGCTTTTACTGCAGCAACTCTTGCCGCTGTCGCGGCCCTGTTTGCACCCATCACTGCCTTGCTAACCTGCTCCTCGACTCCTGGTAGATTGATGGCATTCTCTGCAGTTCTCCTAGCAGCCTGCATTTCGAATCCACTTAACCTAAATAAGGGTACAATTCGGATATGCCCAAATAATGTCGGTACAGATACAGAACCACATAGACTTTACCTGAACTGCTCGAAGGACTGCATCGGTGAGAGGAGGTAGATGGGTTTTGAGGCTGCCTGCATCCCATTCACCGCATCTCGCCTCACCATTGCGGAATGTATACATGCCGAATCCTTGCTTACGACCCTCATGCCACGAGCCCTCATAAGAGTGGCCATTAGCAAAGTGATAGACACCAAACCCATGGATCTTGTCCCCAAAATACTCTCCAGCATATCTATCTCCATTTCTACCCCAAAAGAAAAATCAAACTTAAACATCAATTATTAGGTTCCTTTATGAAGGAACAATTTTTTTTACCTAACCCAAAAACTATTATATTATACACACCGCCTGTGTCCTAATTCAAAAGATAAAGGAAGAATGTGTGAAGTAAAGCAGGAATCAAATAGATAAAATAATGAAAGTATAGATTCATCAGATACGACCATAATGCAATAGAACTGATTGCACCTTATGAAATTCAAGAACCCATTTCTCATTATGTCTTTGAAATTAATGGAGGGAGGCCTGGCCTATTCATCACGAATTCTTGTAAAATTCAAGAAAAGCTGGATAAATTGAGTTTCAAGAAACCATTAACATAAAGCAAACCATAGAATTCTTATGTATAAATGAGTATTCCAGCGACTGATTTCAAAGAAACAACAATATTTATTATTGGATTAACAATGAACAGTTGAGAAATAGTAGATACCACTTCAAACAATCAATTAAATCAAACATTCAATCCAATAGAAAAGAAGATATTTTCGTCGACCAAAAAACTCCATAAAAACCACGATTTTTTAAAGAATACAAGAAGACTTGAAATAAGAAGCTGGCTAATCGCAGCTGGTTATCAACCAAGAACAACCCAAAAGCAGAATTCGATCATGTGGAGTAACAGGAGAAAACAAAAGACGGATAAGCCGAAAGTTCAAAGAAACCAAACAAAAGTTCCCGTCAGAAAATTCAGCTGTAGGTTACTAATCCCCATCAGCAAAAAACAGTAATTCACATAAGAAACCAATCAAATCACGAGATAATGCGCGAGATTCAGAGTTCTAACTCCAAAGCAATGCGTAAAGAAAGAGCATCGAACTTTAGAGAAATATACCTGAAATGGTAACATCCAAGTCCATGCTTAACACCGCACTTGAATTCCCCAATATAGCAGCTCCCGTCAGCGCAAGTCTGCACACCAACTCCGTGGCTCTGTCCATTGCACCACTCGCCAGCATAAGAATCCCCTGTGTAAAACCTATAAACTCCATACCCATGTCTCAATCCTTGCCTATACTGACCTCTATATCTACTACCTCTGGCCCAACTCTCTATTCCATAACCATCATACCTGCCATCTATCCAGTCTCCTTCATACCTCCCATTCACATAGTAATTGTAAACCCCACTCCCATTAGATTTCCCCTTGTGAAACTCTCCTTCGTAGAAATCGCCATTGCTATAAAACTCTACTCCTTCTCTCACTATTCTCTTTTCTTTCCTGGTTTTATGGGTTGGTTTCGATTCCCCGATGAACCATTGAACGGGTTTTGACTGTTTTTTCGAGGAAAACCCCAATCTTTTCGTGCTTTCTTCCCATAGTTGCTTGATCGTTGTCACGGTTTGATTAATCAGCTTCTTGTTCTTGGAAGCAAAGAAAAGGGTAACGGCAACGAAAATCAGGGCCAACAGGAGATTCTCTGATGTGGGTATCTCTTCTCTTCTCAAGTAAAAGAAGAAAAAGAAGAAAGAAAAGAAAGTGAAGAAGGAAAGCGAAGCCACGGCAAGAACCCGGGTTGAACCGGGTCGATCCTGTACGGACGGTAGACCCAGACCTATTAGGGGGCTTCCTTTTCTGCTTCTCTTCTTTCTCTTCCAAGTTGTGCTCCTGTTGCTGTGGATATTGGTTTTGCTGTTTCATAAGGTCACACTCTGTGACGGAGGCGAGGCTGTGAATGGAGGATCGGACGGTGGAGGACGAACGGAGAAGGGAGGACTGTGTTCTCGTGAGCTTGGACTGGCTCTTCTGGCCGTCCATTTCTATTACAGAGAAGCGCTAAAGAGAGATTTGTGGGTCCCAACAACTCTCCACGCCGTCTGATCTTTTCACCTTAGTGGGCCCTCCTGTACCGCGAGATTCTAATCACCACCGTAGTTCTCGAGGCCGCCGGCGACATCTCAGGCGGCGCACTTTTACCGGCAACTACCACTGCCCAAGTTAGCACCTTCCCTTCAATAAAAAATCGGAAAGTGTCTCTCTTTCCTTCTCTCTGTTCTTCGGGCTTTTAGAGAGAGAAACTGAAAGTGAAAATTGAGTGATCTTAGAGAGAGAAAGACAGGGAGAGAGCCTCTGAGAGAGAGAGGGAGAGAGTAAATCTGGAGATTTGGACCGGGTTTTGATTATTTATGGTGTAATAGGCGAGGGAGTTAGATTCAATCTATACCGTAGGATGGAGATTGGACGAATTTATAGCCGTTGGATTCAATTTTGGTACTTCCAAGTCTTGACGGGAGGATTAAGATATGGTCGTCGGATCCAGATTCGTCCCTTTTTAGCTTTACTGTTGCAGCCGGCACGTGCCACCTTCATCTATTATATAACTCATAAACACGTTCATCACTGTCTTCTCTCTTTTATCTTTTTAAGAACCGTAAAATCACATCCGGAACTCGCTCTCACCACCGTTGATCTTGGTACCATCTCGGACAAAAAGAGTGGTCCACGTATTCAACGGTTTTGAGTGGGGTGTTCGATTTGTTGCATTGCAAATAACTTATACGGCACTAAATTACGTCAGGCCTTCTGGCAATCGTGAAAGCAAATGGGTAAAAAAGTCAAAGAATCGGACGGGTGGGATTCATGGGAGCGTGATTTTTTTCTTCACTGATTTGGATTGGAGGGGTTTTTGATGGGTGTCAAGTGGTGGATGGATTCTCAAAGGTAATTATCAGTAGACCGACGGTTGTGATGTGAGAAAGTGAGAAGACAGAACGAAAGAGATAAAATTAATTAATTGGAGATGGCGTAAATTTCAATAGTTTCAGGGATTAGTTACTAATTAGTCGGAATTAGTATTATTATTATTTTTTTAGATATATATAAAAATAATTTAACCATATCCTGTTGAATTATGCCGAGGGTTAAGATTCTCACAGTTAATTATTGAATTATTCATTTTTAATAACAATTTATTTTATAAAGTTTTGTGAAGTCATTCTATAAAAAACTAAACCAACGAAATAATTTTTTCTTAAAAACCATCGTAATTACTTACTTAATAGTTTTTAAATTAACTTTCTATATGCTAGTTCTAAAAATGCATTTCATAAATAAAAATAAGATACCATCTTCAAATAAATTTCATATATGTAAAGTTAATTTGTCTTGTAGTTTAAAAATATTTTTTCTTTTTACTAAATAGGCACGGAAGAGGAGACTTTTTCTTTTCAAGGGGGTCAATGGGGATGTCCGTGTTGAGCAAAATTTTACTTTATAAAGACCAAAAAAAGGTAACTAGCATTCCTTTAATAAATTAAAATACCACAATACATATAGAATTATAATTGGTTTAAAACATATATTTAACAATTTAGCATTAAATTACTTAAATACCCCTAAAACAGATGGAGTACAGCTAGAATCAAACTAAGGAGTATCAAGGAGGGGAAGGGCTTTTGAACCTTCGCTTCCCTCCCTCCCCTTTTCACTTTTCCTACCAATTTTTTGGGTTTATTAATTTAATAATTTTTTAATATCAATAATTTATTAATTTAAATTCCAAACAATGTAAACTAAAATAAATAAATTAAAAATAGTAGATAACTAAAATAGTATATAACTCTTGATATTACTTAAAAAAAATTACTTGTTAATTTAAAAAATTAATAATATATTTTACAACTAACAACTATTTAATACAGATTAAAAATATTTTGTTAAATTTAAAAAACAGATTGATATATAATTTAAATATTAGTATTTTATAAAATTATTGAGTTCGTAGTCCGAATTTCAAATTTATTTAAAAAAAAAAAATTATCTGTACATTTAGGTGTTAAACATTAATAAATTCATGTTATGTGTGTTCATACGTTGATAATATAATATAAGCATCTTTCTTGTAACGCGCAATATTCATCTTAACGGTTAAACATAATAGATTTATGAGTTCGTACAATGTATAAATTGTTTGTATATTATTTAATCTTATAAATATAAAGAAAACATTTTGCTTTACATCATGCATACTATAATTATAAAGGGGTGGCTTTTTATTATTATTATTTTTTTTTATACAATAAGGTCAGAAGAGTAACAATTTTTTTCATGTGTTGAATTGAAAAGTTTTTTAAAAAAGGAGGGAAAAATAAACAAGAAAAGTAGACTGTTGGTGAATGATTAATTATATAGCTTTGCTTACCCAATACTCACATCTTTAGGTACATTGAACATTGTTTACTGGTCAAACTATTTCAAAAAAGTAAGCTTTTATGTTTTCTATCAGCAATGGCAGACACACCCAGCAGAGATAAATTATATATACATATATTATATAAACTCATAATTTAATTAAATGGATTAATCAATTAACTATATAATTAATGTCACATACACACACGTAAAAGCAAAAAAAAAAAAAATGACTGACCGATGTCTACTCCCTATCTGAATAAACAAATCATGTTGGTCTGCGTAATTTTCAAGTTTTAATACTTAAAAAACCTGATCTGCTACTTTCTTGGACTCTTCTGAATTAGAATATGCTAATTATTATTATTATTATTATTTTGTGACAACTGAGAAATTAACGCATCGTTTATTTTCTGTGTGTGTGTATAGATCAAGCGTGGATGTCATGACACGTTATTAGTTCAAATTTTGCAATCCAAATTCCAATATAGAATTCAATGAAGGGACTGCATGCATGTCGACTCCCAAGCATTTGATCTCATCTTTTTGAATTATTTGTTTCGATTAAGGTACAGAGTGTCTGTCAAAAATAGCCGCTGAGCTTTACCTGGTCAAAAGAACTGCAGTACCTTTCTCATTCAACATACATACATGTATGACAATATTAGGGTTAGTAATAAAAGTCGGCAGAGCTTAAGATTCAGCGTTGAAGGTGAACGTCTAAAATTGCAGAATGGATTGAATTGACAGGCACCGGGGTTTGTCCGAAAGAAACAGCTTAAATTATCACATAACACAATCATCCATTTAAATCAGCTTCTTATTTTTTTATAGGCCACACACACACACACACACACATATATATATATATATATGTATATATAAAAGCAAAAATATAATGCAGACCCATAATGCACAGATGAACTAAAGACTTGTATTTATAATTGTTTTGACAGATTTTTAACTTGCTCATTAATTATTTACCTAGCTTCTGTTTATAAGCAGCTGTGCAGGCTGCTTTTATAGAGTCGTACGCAGATATAGTAGCATTATCTATTTTATTTTTGAGGAATATATAATAATATATATCTTCACAATAATGCCTCTGTTGACACCCAACCGCCTGTTGTATAGTATTGAAGCAATTAGTGTAGACTCATTTTTTGGAATTATTTTATGCAACACAAAAATAATTATACGGCATGATATGCATTTATGACTTGATAGATTTCATGATTAAAAAGAAAATATCCCTAAAATTTATTACTGATTACATGTGCTCGTGTTCTGAAATAACAACACAATTAGAATGTTAATGATACATAAGGATTACTATCTGGGTGGTTTTAATTTAATTACAACATACACACATATATATATATATACATATATCGTCATGCTTATACGTATCTCTAATTTGAGTTTAATCTTTGATTATCATTATCCTTTGAAGCAAATCTAATTCTAAAGGAAATTAAATTCTGAGATTTCTATTAAAAGTATATATGTTTTTAGAGAGAGATAACATTTGAAGAGTACTCGAATAGATGAGTTGAACCGAAAATATATGAAATTTGAAAATTAATGTAACGACTTTTGGAATTACAAAAAAAAAATTACAAATTGAATGCGGAAGCGAAATAATAACGTTAGACTTTATATTTTTTATACAATAATTCAGAATATCCAATAGAGTTGTAAAAATATATATTTTAAAGAAACAACGAAAAATTAAAGAAATAAATAGAAAACAAACCATTGAACATCCTATTCGCAACTCTCTTGTGGATCAGAATCTGCATATGGATCTTGATTCTCTTGATCTGAAATGATTAATGAAAGAATGAGGTACACTAACCCAGTAAAAATGTCACACTATTCACTGATACAGAAATGAAGGTTGGTAAAAAATATGAAAATAACTAATGGAGTTTTTAATTTAACTAAATTCATTCATCATAAATAAAATCATTTATTGGACACTTACCGTAGCGAAAATTCTAAAACTGACATATAAAAGTAATAACACGACAATATCATAATCTCATATCTAATTAAGTAAGAATAACAATTTTCGCTTTTTATCTTACTACTAGTATCCGTAGGGGTCCATAGAGATGTTTCTATTACGCGTGAACCTTTATTCAACATTGTCAACTAACCAGCTGTCCCCATACCCTGTTCAGTATGAGCGTCAAAAATATCATTCCTTAATACCTCGTCCAATATGAGAGTAAAACGAGTCGTCTCCATACCCGGTCCGGTATGAGCGCCAAAATATCAATTCTTGATACCCCGTCCGGTATGAGGCAACGTTCACGATAGGGTTTTCTATGCACCTGGTCCGTCCACCATCTTTCAGGATATCCAGTAAGGCTATCATTCATTCAATCACTAAATCAAACAATTCTCCGTTTACATTTAATTTTCAATTTCACAATTTAACTGTAAATTACGCAAAATAAGCAATACATGCATCAAGGAAATATAACTGAATCATCTTATCAATTTCAGTGTACTATCATATTTTTAAGAATTGTAAAAATCAATCAATCAGTTAAAACAGAATAAACAGTAATGAATAACCGGTTCTGACTCCATGAGTAACCTGTAATTAATTTTTAAAATTTTCTAAATTAAGCGAAATACTGTATTATTTAATTAGACTTCAATTCTAAAATAAGGAATAAGGTGAGAGATTCTTACTCGAATCGGTGTCCGAAACGCTAAATTATCAGCTGCGCCTATTGGCGGTCGCCGGGCTCCCTAAATTTTCTTTTGGAGATTAAAACACGTTTCAAGTACCTAAAAATACCTCAAAAAACCCAAAATCAGTGTTAAAACCCTTTTCCTACCAATTTTGGAATTCTGGCACGGTGGCACTGCCACTTGCGGCAGTGGCGGTTTGCCTCGGACTGGCTATTTTCGACCGATTTTGACTAGATTTGTATTCATCCTTGCAAGAAAACACGTTAAGGAGTCTCGGTTGGTCGAAAAATAGAAGCTTACAGGTGGCGGGCTTTTCTAGTGCGGCGGCTCCGCCGGCTCACCTTCGTGGTTGAACGTTTTTTTTCGGTCAATTTGTGGAAAAAAAAATATTAAATACAATAGTGAAAAAATCGCATGAAACGGAAATTGGAAAGGGCCTCATCGGAGGCGATTTTTTTATTTTTCTCGCGGCACTGTCGTTGGACTTTACCCGCGATTTCTGGCTCATCGGCCCATCCTTTTACTTCAATTTAGCCATGGGGGTGTTCAAAATAAAATTTCGAGTGAATGAAAATTTTTTTACCTTTTTTTGACAGTTGAAGGTGGTTCCGGCACGACGACGGACGGCGTGCGGCTCCCTTTCCGGCGACTGGTTCTTCTTCTCCAACGGGAATGGTTGGTGGCTAGGGTTAAGGTTTAGTGTGAAGTGAGATATTTATATCTATTTTTCTTTAATTTTTGTCGTTTATCGCGTTTGATCTCGATCGTCCAATCACGTTTAAATAAGAAATGAATCTGAACCATTCATCGCAATTTGATCTGTACCATACAATCGCGCCTGATGAAGGAACTGATCTGAACCGTTCACGCGTGCGGGAACAAATCCGGACCGTTTGATCGCAGGCACGCGGATTATCAGCGTGGTCTCTTGCGTCAGCGTGCCTTACCACACGGCGTGCTCTGGTTCATCGGGACTACTGACTGAACGATCATATGTGACACATTTTATTTAAATTACATTTTAACCCTCAATTTTAATTTTTTTTTAAAAAAAACAACCATAGAATCTAAATGTTCACAACTTTTTTTTAAAATTGTTTTCAATTTCATACTGTAACTATTTTTCTTAATTTTTTACGTTAAATAAAAATTCATAAATTAAAAAAATTATATTTTATACATTAATTTAAAATTTTTAAAATTAATTGCGAGTATTACAATTAAACCAAAACTTGCATAAAATCTGGAGCATGATTCTGTATTAATATACTGTATCAAGAGAGTATCAACCTGTATACAAATGTTTGAAGTTTCGAAGGAAATTTTCCCATGAAAGAAGTGTATACTAGGATGATATTTTTATGAAATCTGTGTTCACAAAAGAAAATTTCAAAATTAAACAATTTTTCTTTATTAAAAAATGAGAAAAATATGGCAGTTTATCCTTAAATTTCCAGAATGCTTCGAGATGATCTTCATGAGAATACAAGGTGAAGGATATCTCCAGAGAGTACAAAAATGCACAACCTTCCTGAGAAACTCCCAGGGCCAAAAACAAATTCCATCAGATAATGAGCACATTATTATAGACACTTACCGTAAGGGCAAGTAGCAACCACCTTCAATAAAATTTCACTACAAGTCCCACAATACATTTACTACATCATTTTCTTCTCAGCTTCTCCTTCATCCTTTCAACTGCAGCCCTCAATGTTCCTTCATCTTTGCAGAAGGTAAATCTCACCAAATTCTTTCCATCTTCCGGGTTCAAGTAAAATACACTTGTCGGAATTGCTACCACCCCAACTTCCTTAATCAGATACTCACAAAAAGCAATGTCATTCTCATGTCCGAAAGGTGTGTGATCTACAACCACAAAGTACGTACCGCTTGATGGGAATACTTTGAAACCTACAGCCTGCAATCCCTCCACCAGTATTGCTTTCTTTGCCATATAGTCCTTCTTCAGCTCATCATAGTATGAGTCCGGGGCCTTAAGAGCTGTTGTAGCTGCCCACTGCATTGGAGTGGAGGTAGCAAAGGTCAGGAAAGAGTGTGCCTGCCGCACTCCCCAAGTCAAGTGTGGAGGAGCAATTGCCCACCCAATCTTCCAACCTGTTAAGGAGAATGTCTTGCCCAAGGAATTCATAGTCACGGTCCTTTCATACATTCCGGGAAGAGAGGCCATAGAAATGTGATCCATTTCAAAAGCCAACTTATCATAGACTTCATCCGTAAAAACTAGTACATCATTGTCAATACAAAGAGATGCAATAATATCAAGTTCCTCCCTTGTGAACATTTTTCCAGTGGGGTTGTGTGGAGTGTTTATGAGAATTGCACGAGTATTCTTCGAGATGGTAGACCTGAGTTCATCAATGGGAATAGCAAAATCTGGAGGGCGCAATGTGATACATTTTATTTTGGCACCAGCCATGGAGAGGGTGGCTTCATAAGAGTCATAAAAAGGAGCAAAAAGGATAACCTCGTCACCGGGATTTATTAGACCCAACATAACTGCAGCAATTGCTTCTGTGCACCCAGATGTAACTGTAACTTCCTTCTCAGGATCAACCACAAGTCCAGTATCTTTCTTGAAGCGTGCAGCAATAGCAGCATTAAATTCAGGAATTCCATGTCCGCGTGCATATTGATTTTTTGAATCCTTAATAGCTTGAATTGCTGCCTCCTTAACAAACTCTGGGCCATCAAAATTGGGGAACCCTTGGCCAAGGTTTATGGCTCTATGTTTGATCGCCAGCATACTCATTTGTGTAAAGATTGTTGTTTTGAACTTTTCCAAGCGCTTTGCCACCTGAAAAAATAATCAGATTATTAGAATAAAACAATAAACAAAAACTACATAACCTGAAAAACTTAAATTATTTAACACAGAAGGGTATTGATGTTGATTGTCAGACTTCTCACTTCAGTTTAGACACTAAACGTCACTTCAGTTAGATGAAGGGTAAGTATAAAACCTAAATAATCCAAAGCAGAGTCCAAAATCATTTTTTACTATGCTTTACTTGCATTTTTTTTAATCACTTCTTCAGCCTATTAATCATTTCCTAAAATCAATTTACCATGTTTACTTTCATTTTTATAAATCCTCAATTTTATATGATTTAACTTTCCATAGAACCAAATAACGTGGGCCAAACACCAAAAACTTGTGAAGTCGAGACATAAAGAATATTCAAGCAAGCATTTCATCCAAGAGAAATGATCACACGTCTATCAGTAGCATCGAGGAAGCAATTATAATAATCCAACAGTTGCAGAATGCAAGATTCTATCAGCAAAAGCCTAGCACTGAGTTTAGCTATTATGGGTCTAGCACAGCCAGGCTTAAATCCATGGAAATACCAAAAAGCCCCTGATTTTCATGGTAAACTGATAAGTGAAAATCTTCATACCAATAACCCGAAGCAAACTTATGGATGTAAGATTCAAAAGGCAAGCATCTACCACTTAACAGAGCTCACAAACTCCTTTCAACCAAACATCCTTTGACCAGATTATGAAACAAACTAAAGGAAATATGGGAAGCCCACAAGGACTAGTGCACCCTCTGAAATATGCTCTTTTTTTTTTTTTTAAGGAAACGAAATATGCTAACTCCCGATATCAACTTCTTGTTTCGGAAAAATTGATGGACTTCCTTTAGCCTCCTTTACCAATTTCATGTTTGTGAAAACCGGCATTTCAAAATTACTAGGCACAACCAATCACTTAATAACAAAAGAAACAAGTATGAATCAATTTAACCTGTTACTAACTGCTAGTTAACCAATGAGTTTTCCTTTAACCAGAGGCAATTTAGAATTTATATGACTAGCTAGCATCAAATTCCTGTAAAATTAGGTGCGAAGTTTTGCATTAAATAGACTACCATCAGAAATACATATATATATATATATATATATATGTATATATATGACGTCTGTTTGTGATTTGAGCAACCTACCACCATAAAACAAACATAAGACGACTAGAACGGACGAAGTCCTAGAGAGAACAATCCCAACATATCTACGTCGGTACCCACACCAATACCTCACTATTAGACTAAAAATCAAAATGCATCGATAAAAACAAATCTCAAAACCCGATTCTAACCTAGAGAAGAGGCAGCAGCGAGGAAAACAAAAAGAATCAAGAATTACCTGTAAAGGCTTTTGGGCAGAGTCGTTTTGAGTAGGAAGGGCATCGTTCTGGGCGGGTACGGTGGATATGGTGGCCATGAGAGATGGATAAGAGGAAGCAACCTTTTGAGTCCTAGCAAAATCACTGTCCTTTTGCAAATGCTTCGTGAATGGTACGAGTTTGGTGGACTTAAAGCTAAACTGTCTAAGCATTTCGGAATTTGTCCAGATACATTGAGCCTGCATGACAAAATGGAATAAAGCAAATAGTTAGGGTTTATTATTACTCAATGGAGTCAAAAAGAAGGCGAAGGCGAAGGCGAAGAACTGAATCTGGCATCGAAATGAAATTAGGCAGAAGGGATACGATTAGTGGGCCCACTTCTAAGCGCATAGTTTCGTGCCGTGCCGTCGATGGGCTGAGCCATGCTTTCATTGAACTTTCTTCTGGCTTCGTATATAAACTTTGATCTACTATATTTATATATTACTAAATTTAATAAACGAGGAGGGTATAAAACGTATCTTAATTTCATTAATTACGTAATTAAGATAATTTTCCTAAATACGTAAATAAAACAATTATTTTATATATTAGTGTATATTATTTTAATTAAAAATTATATGATAAATTATTTTTTTAATTTCAAAAATATCAGCGGGGCGGTTAAACGGAATCGGATCCTCCAAAAGAAGCCCATTAGGCCCAAATACACTTGAAGGCTCTATTCTCTTTCAATATCCCCCCGCCATGTGGTTTTCAACCCAGAGAATGCGTAATTTGTATCTGACTTTCGCGTTAAAATAAATATTTTCTCTATTATAATAACATTAATAATTATTTACCAAAAAATCAACCGTTAATATTATATTATAAAAAAAATAAAAATTTTTAAATTGAAAAATACAAACCCTCTTCTCCAAATAATAAAAATTCATATTATAAAGAATTTTATATAAAATTACTTTAATACGTTTGCACTGCACAACATCTATATATATATGTTTATAGGATACTTGAGTTGCCGCAAAATGCATCATCAAGTGCGTAATCAAATATTTGGGTAATAAAATAAATTTGGATTAAAAAATAATTATAGTAGTTAGCAATAGTGACAACAACAGTGTTAGTTAGTAGAAGTGATAATAACAAATTTTTTATTCTCAACATTTATTTAAAGCTAAAGAAAATTAGTGAGAAAAAAATTCGATTATTTTAATATTTGGTTCAAGTTTTAATTTTATAGAATAAAAATTAAAATAACAAAAATTTGAACGAAATTAGTATTATATAATTTTATATTCATTTTAGATTAGTCATTTTTTAAAAAAATTCTTTTTGACAAATAATATACAAATTTATTAGAAATATAAGCTTAAATATAGAGAATAAAGTCAACTAAAAATAAGGGTATGCATAGGTTCGAAAAAACCTGAGTAAAAGACGTGGATCCTCATTAAAAGGGAACCAAAGGAATTGTGTGTGTGTGTGTGTGTGTGTGTGTATATATATATATATACATCTATGTATTGGGTTATTAAGGGTTTATTAGAAATATACCACAGCATAGACTCTGTGGATGATGAAAACTCAAACCAGATGGAAAACTTAAACCTCTCCGGATGATATTGCTTCTTCAAGTAAAAATCTTCTCGACCCGTCGTATCCAAACAATCTGTTTTATATCCAAGTAAATTAAAGCTCAAGTGCACTACTGTTAACGTACTTATCATATATGAACACTTGAAGGAATTGTGTGTGTGTGTGTGTATACGTGTATCTGTAGGGTTATTTATGGTTTTCAAGAAAATAATGATGTTATCTGATGCAGGTATATGCATGCTCATTTAATCGTACATATATAAGCATAGTTTTCTAACAACGATCATAGAATTTTTTCGAGAGAAAGAAAGTCTTTTCGCCACTCACCCTTTTTGCTTTCTGCTCTGTCTCTAATATACTTTCTTTTTTCTTTTCTTAAACATGTTCATTCTTAGATCTTGTTTAACAAGCTTTTTTGTGCAGAACTGAAGAAAGTTTTGTTTTCGTAAATACAAATCAATCATAATTAATTTTAATTAATCAAATAGCTGATGCAAACAGCTCCTACCCTTTACGCCAATATGCAATAATTGACCAGAGAATTACCAAATAAACTAATAGCAACAGTGTACAGTATGTGTATATATATATGTGTGTGTGTGCGAGAAATAAATAAATTAGTTTGGAATGACGTAGTGCAAAAAGTGGATTGCGATTTACAGGCATATGCTGTGCAGCGAGGGAGGATGCTTTTGGGTGACGAGAACAAATGTCTAAAATAATATTTTAAAAAAATAATAAGGTGGTGGAGAGGGATTCAGAGTGTATTATATGCAATAATATTTTAATTGAATTAATTAAGTTAAGAAATATGAGTTTTTTATTTTTTTTAAAAATGGAAATTTATTATTGTTTTTGAAAAGGTACATTCTTAGGAATAAGAATCTTCCAGAGTCCCTTCGCAACTCTCCTGATTGAGGTTTTTGCTTACACCACAAAGGAGAGGGATATGCTAACCAACCCACCAACTCTCCTTTTGTTACGTAACAGTCGTGTTATTCTTATTTGCATTTTAATTTTTATTAGTATTAATTTAGTATTTATCGTAAAAATAAATTATTATAAAATTTAAAAAAAAAAAAAAAGAGAATAGAAAGTCATATTATCTTAGTATATGATTTAAAATAACATTGTACGTCTTTTTAAATGTAAATATTCAATCAGTGATATGTGATTTTAGATCCGTAATTTAAGTGGGGACCTTACAACATTAATGAAAAACGAAATGCAGATGTTTATTAAACTAGTAATTAAGCAGTGTACGTGTTAAAATAATCCTAAACTCTACAGTTATAATCCATAACAAATGGTTAAATATTATATTTAATTAGTATACAATTATAAGTTATTAAGTCCTCGGGCAGGATGAGATATACTATATTCTGGAAATGAGATTTGGAGATGATTGCTGAACAAGTAGCCAATGTTATTGGAATATTAATTGTAGTATCCATTAAAAAAACTGTAAATAAAAAAATAAAATTGGAGTGAGGATGTAAATGAAAGAATTTTTCAAAATTAGGAGGATTTTAGTTAATTTCAAGGAATTAAATGAAACAAATGAGAAAAAAAGAGGGGTAAAAGTATAAATAAGAGAAAGTGAAATGGGACAAAGGAAATTAGAAAATGGACGGTCCTGATCGAACCGTCTGGGAAGATTGAATGGCTGAGATTTAAAAACAGAACGGATAGCCCAGATCGAGTAAGAAAGATCCGACGATTGGGAAAAATGGGTATAAAAAAGAAAAATTTAGGATTTTTCTTCATGTGAGGATAGCCGAAAAAAAAGAGATAGGAGCGATCAAGGAGAAGGAATAATAGGAGGTCGCGCAGGGAAGCTGAGAGAGAAGAACGAGAGGAAAGGAAGAGAGAGGCCAGAGAAGGAGAAAATGAAGGAGAAAAAAAAAGGAGAGTGACTGAGCTGAAAAGGGAAGAAAGGAGAAGGTCGTGCGGGGAAGCTGAAAGAGAAGAAAGAAGGAAAGGGAAGGAAAGGGGAAGCTGGAAAGAGGAAGGGAAAGGAGAGGAAAAAGGGGAAGGAAAAGAGAATAGAGGAATGGCCGTGTGGGAAAGAGAAGGGGGGAGCAGAGAACGGCAGCCACAAGGGAAAAAAGGGAAGAAGAGAGAGGCAGAGGTGGGAGAACGGTGTAAGTCGAGCCGAAAGAAAGGAAGAGGAAGAGGAAACGACCAAGGCACTGTGCAACGGCGGAGACCGAGGCTGTTTGGGTTTTTCAAGCACCGCACCTAAGATATGTACGTTCCTTTTCTTCTTTCAGTTTGTGCTTTTGATCAAACGAGTGTTCATGTGTGTGTGTGTGTGTGCAGGTTTGGGAGTTAAGAAGTTGCGGGGTGGCCGAGAGGAGGCAATCCCGAGAGGAGGCAATCGAGAGCCAAGCCAAGGCCGAATCGCCCCACACTGAAAAGGTAAAGCTTTTTTCGTATTTTTTGGTGGTTATTGAGTGGCGGTGGAGCAGAGACGATGTCGGATTGGCCACACAAGCTCGGCTAGGCCACCCACTTGTTTGGGAACCGAGGAGGTCTCTTCGGAAATAGGAAAAGTCGACCCATTCGAGAAGCCGAAGTATCTTCCCTAAACGTGGGAACCCGATCCGCCATTTTGGGTTTCGATTTGCCGTTTGGAAAGCTGAAAAGTCTTCCTCATAAAACGAAAAATGCGTTTGCCATTCGAAAAGTTGAAAAGTCTTTCCCAAAAAATGTAAATTCGATTCGCCAAATGGCGGGCCGAAAGGTTTTTTGGGTATGGATCCCAATAGATTATGGTATTTTGTTAGGTGGTCGTTGGAATCCAAAATTTGATTAAATTTATTTTTAGTATTTTGAAGTATTTTTATTAATTATATCGTGTATATAGAAAAATTTAAATATTCAGACAAATACAGAAAGATGCGTAAAAGAGTAAGTATTTCTAAATCTCAACCTGGTTTGATTTTCAAAATGTGCATTCATTTTATTAAATTATCAATTTTGAAATTTGAACGGACATTGACCTAATCTTCAATAAAAAAACAGAATTAAAATTATAATCAGTAAACCTAAATAATTAAAACCCTATAAAGAGACGAAACTAGAAAACAGGTCCAATGGACTGAGAATTATTTGGACTAATGAAATCTAAAATTGAAAAAAAAAACTTTTAATCAAGGAAAAATTGAAAAATATAAAAAAGAAATAAAATAAAAATGTAAAAAAATATAGAAGAGAAAAGAAATAATTGAGGTTAAGAAATGATCATTTAAACAAACTGAGAATTTTTGAATAAGATGGTAAGAGTGAATAGGGTAGAGACCCTAAATATCTTTTCGTTTAGTCTGAATCGAAGAGGAGAGTGTATGTGTGTGGCTAAAGTTCAGCAGGCATGGTGAACCTGCACTTGGATAGAGTCTGAAACCTAATCCATACGTGGATAGACATTCGTGTGAGTGTGAGTCACCAAGCAAACGTACATGCTGTGATCATTGTGTAATTTGTGTGTGTGCTATCCATGCAATGAGGTGATCCATTTTGTCATTCCTCAATGATGACATAACAGCATCGTGCGATGCAACTTAAAAAATGACCTTTCAAGTATATAAGCGATCTTTCGTGGGAATGTGATTATGTTTCGGGATTATGAACGAGATTTGAGTGTATCTGTGATTTTTTATGTGTGTGATTATGTTTTAAAATGACGATTGATATTCGAATGCATTTATGACTTTTGAGAGTATGAAAATATACATTTGAGATTTGTATATGATATTCGAGAGAATTCATTATATCGATCAGGAACATGTGAAATAATGAAAATAAGAGCATGAGTTTTGTACTGAAATATTTTTATTGTTTTTATATGAGTTGAGAGAATGGAAATACGTATTGAATTGATGAAACTCATTAAATTTTACTATGATATTTTTCAGATAAGAATGAAGAGTCATCGCCGTTATCAGACAAGTAGAACATTTGTAAAGGTTTTTATTTTTGTATATTTTGTGCATATTCGGAAAGTTTTATTTTATTCTATTAAATTCTAAATTCTGATATCATATTTTGTATATATAGTTACTATACATATAACATAGGATGATAGGTTGTATTATATTTTTTTATCTACGGATGTAAATATTTTATGAACTTACTATATGAAAATGACATGAGCTGAAATTGTGACTCGTATCGAAGATCGAGGCGTGACATTAATATAATTCATGCGGTCATTATTATATTTTTCTTATCTTATTAATTCCGCTAAAATTTAAAAGAAGTAAATAATCTGTAAAACATTAACATGTAACACCTACATACATAAAATCAAACGATAATTAAGCTTTATGCATCTTATTTCTCTACCATCTAAAGCAATACACTATTATTGGATTAACGGTAACTTCTGGCTCAATAATTAAGAGTAATCTTAATAATTTTCTAATCATTAGTATGGCTACTGGCATGACAGCCTGACGTTATTTATACTTGGCAAATGACATTCATCTCCAATTGGCCAAATATTTAAAAGCAAAATCCATCGTGTATCATTTGACACTACTTAAGAGGAAGATAAAACAAACTGTAATAAGCTCAGTAATTTACATAAGCCGCAATCGGTCAAAACCAAATCAAGCAATAGGAGAAATTATAAAAGAAAAAAAGGTTACAATAATAAATATTGAGAGAGGAAATCAAAATAAATTAAAACAAAAGTTTACAATTATATTAATTAATTAATTAATCAGAATCTGGAGAGGTCCAAATAGAAGCAGAGAGCAAACGCCTGGATTTCCACCCCAAAACCAGCCTATTCCGATTAACCTCCTCAACTCTATACCCGTCATTGAACAGCCCCAGCAAAAGCTTTGCTTGGACCTGGTTCGAATAACTTATACAACTCGGCTTGAACCCTACCGCCGCTACCCACTCTCCCCACGACCATCCGTTCTCCTCTCCCCGGCTCCGGTAGATCCGGCTCAACGTCCCAGCTATTCGGGGACCCAAGAACACCCTCTCCACCAGCGACAGCGCTCGGCACTGCATAGGAAACCCCGCCTCCAAAGAATCGTACATAGCAGAGTAGTGGTGCAACGAGTCCATGAACCTGCCCACGAACCCTCCCTCCCCTGTCGTCCCAATCTCCTCCTCTGCCAGGGTTACCACTCTAGGGTTCAGGCTCTTCGCTCCGGATAGAAACGAAGCCACGGAATCGGATGCCCGATAACTGAAATGGGGTAAGTGCAGCATGCAGTTGATCACCAACGCCTCACCTCTTACTAACTTTACTGCAGAAGGTCGAAAAGTCTCGTCGGAATCCAGTCTGCACAGATGGAAAGAGAAAGGTTGCCCGATGGATGCAGCGAACGCGGTTAGCCGGCGACCGGTCTCCTGAACCGTTCCGATGGACCTCCGACTACCGCTTCCGCCCCGTGAAAGCGCAGTGATTCTGAGGTGCGGTGCCGGCGGGCCCTCTTTCCTGGATACCAAGGCCTGCATCAAAGACGCCCACTGGATCCCTTCCATGATATCGTAATCCACTATGTGAATCCGCCTGTCGTGTGTGACGGCTTCCAGGATGGCTTGGTTGGCCGTGAAGTGGCCGAACTTTACGTACGGCGACATGTCCTGAAGGAGCTGGAACGCGGCGAGCACGTCCATCTGATTGTGGGGCCCGTTACCGCTGATTAAATGATGCTTATTAGTGGCCGTACTTGCCGCGGCGCCATCTAGCAAACCCTGCAAGGCTTCGGTAAAATACGCCGCCAATCTCTCCATGTTGGTTCCATCACTTGGGGACACCAACTCCTTGAGCCGAACCAATATCACCCGAGCCAGTTCCCGGCTCTTGTTCACTCCCGTGAGTGCCTCTGCGGCGGCGATCAGCAGGTGGACTAGCCTCAGGCCCTTGCAATCGTCGGCCTTGGATTCGTCCTGATCGACCATGACGGCATCGGGAGTGGATGTAGAGTGGCATGGTTCCTGATCGGGGTGGGAGACCCGAGCGGAAGGATTGAGCAACGCTCCATCGTCCATCAAGGATTCGATGAGATCTTGGAAATCATCGTTGCCGCCGGATAGAGCGTCCCAGTCAACGACAGGAGACCAGTCATTCCAGTTGCAAGGAAGATCGTCGTCTGTTGTGGTAGTGGTGGTGGTGGTGGCAGCCGAGAAGTCGAGCTCGTGGGTGTCATCGATGACCATGGCCATGAGATGAGTATGTGAAGGAGTAAAGAACTAAAAGGATGGAGATTATGAGAGAAGAGCGGGGGTTGAGGGAGAAAAAAGCGGGTTTTAGATATAAAAGGGAAGAGGAGGGAGGAGGATAGAGATTGGAAAAGAGACAGTGAAGGTGGGGACTGATTGAGTTCAGAGCCTTAGTAGACAAAGTTGGGCAGCTGATCCCTATGTTTAATTTTGGTTTTTATTGTGTTTATATATATAATTAACACCCGTACGTCTTAATCTGGGTTATCATCAATAATGTCTGTCGATCTTTTACATTTATACCCTTGTGTTATCATGTTTTTTCTTTTTGTGTCACTCCCACTTGGAACTATAAAATATAACTATAATGATACAATATCATGTATGTTTAAAATTATCTTATGGTCTGGTTCGAGGTTATTAGGGAGCCTTCAATTCGAAATTTTAAGTAAATTTTCAGGTGCATGAAAGCAGAACTTTGGAATCCAAATGGAGCGGAGAGTATATTTTGCGTAGGAATCATCAAAGTGAAAGCTCAGTTGAGAAAAGGGCTTTGGACGAACTTTTAACTTTTTAACGTCCCTCCATGCCACACGCTTCTGGCATTTACGATTGGGTTAAAACCTCAGCTGCTTTCTTTATTTATTAACCAAAATTATTTTTGACCGAGCATGTACTTCTACGACTGCCACGTCATTCTTGCCGGCTCAGTCCCACTCACTGAGTTCGCTTTCCTTGCTCTTTTCATCGTTGCCACTTTAACATTTTTTAAAACAACGAAAAGGTTGCTATTTGTGGCAAATGCTGGTTGGTTGCCGTCAGGAGCATCCCCTCAGGTGGGGGTTCTTTACACCGTCGATTCTCTCAAACCCACGAATTTTATTGGCCCATCATATGTATTAAATTCGCTTGATTCAACGCGGGGCCCCACGGTACTCTCCTCCCAATAGATTGGAAGTTTAACCTTCAACTCACTGCTCCATACTTATGATAAATCAATTTCTTAAAAAATATATTTTAAAAAACGATTAATTCATTTCGAAATAACTTTTCCTTAAAAAAAATATTTGCGAACAACATTTACTAAATTTTTAATTATTAATTAGTATTTATCATAAATAATTTCCAAATTGTCTTATTTTAATGACCGACCTTAATTTAAATAATTTCCAGCTGAAAAAGACTCGGAGACGCATCACACTTGTGAATTAATAGTTGATTTTAAAACGCTGAGTCAAAAAATCAAAAGGCTCGTACGTACAATCCCAACTGGCTATTCTAATGTTTAATTTTGCATATTATATAAAATCAGTTTAATTGTAATCACAAAGATTAATTCAGTTAATAAAAACAAATGTAAATTTTCTATTTTTTATTTTATTTTATAAATATTAGAAAATGATCAAAAGATTAGTTTGAAGATTTTGTAAATATGATATTTTATTTTAAATCAGTATTAGAAATTATGAGATAAAACTTTAAAATAAATAAAATATTTACTATAAGGTATTATCATTTTTGTGAAATTTTCATATCAACCCGACACCATTTTTAACCAAAGAAAAAATTCAAATTTAAAATTTTAATATCTCTCTCACCGTAATCAAAATTGTTAGTGTGCAGGTCGTCGGTGTCAATTCGTCTCACCATTAGATATAATAATGGCGGATCTAATCTTAATATCTTATATTTTATAAATCTAAGATATTACTCGACGTTTATATTTATTCGACTCTATGATCTCTATTATTTTATGTTTAATATTTTTTTTTTATATTTGTACGGGTGATTTTGAGTATCGTTTATTGAATAATAATAAATTGAGTTTGTATTTGTTTTTTTTGTGGAGAAAAATCTGTGTGTATAATTCTATTTGAAAACAAAAAACTTGTTTATTTTTTTTGTAAAAATACCAATCAGCAATCATCATCCAATTAAAAATGGATGGTGATCGTGATGAAAGCAACCGGATTAAACATTATTTGAAAATTGAAGTCAAAGCACTCTATCATTGGCCAATTTCCAAGGGAAGATATTCAAATTATGATCTCCTAAGTTCCCTTTGATTAGAATTTAATTAATTGAATCAACATATATATATATATATATGTGTGTGTGTGTGTGTCTCTCTCTCTCTCTCTCTCTCTCTATATATATATATATATATTAAAGAGGCTAGTTGGTAAGTTAATTTTGTAATTAAAAATTGAGTGGAATTGATATATTGATGGGTATATACCAAGTCGCCCACGAGATTCTTTTGTCTATTATAATCAACAAAAGATTCCTCTAATTCTCTACTTAATATAAAATTAAATTTGTACTACTAATTATATACATTGAGGTACAGTGTACTACACGTTGTAATTGTAGTAGATAAGGCAAGTCATTGATTTTAGGATATACCATAACAATATTATTAAAGATTTTAGCACAACTTATAAAATAAAATTGCAATTTGAATTTAAAAGAACACGATTAACTCGTTTTTAATTGTTGAAAATTTAACGGTGTTAATTATGAAATATCACATTTATATATATATTTTTAATACAACGTAATATATATTTATTTTTTGTACTATATAAAAAATCATATGTAAATTTTGTGAAGTAGAGAAATAATATCTGACCCAAAGACCTATTATCGCATGTGTAACAAATTATTCTCCAAACTCTCCTTTATTTTATTTTATTTTTTATTTTTCTGTCTTTTTCAGATTTCTCTTGTCCTCTTACTGCCACAGTTTCTCTTCTTTCTAAATTTTCAGCCTACGAAATTTTGTGGTGATAGAAAAAAAATTATACAATATAAAATTAATTTCATTAGAGATTATTATTATTTTTTCTTAATTATTATTTAAATGTAGCATGTTATAGGCATAAAACAGTGTGAAGCATCTGGGTTTTCTTTTTCTATCCAAAAAATATTATGTAATAATTAGATTATCTTATGTAAATTAAAAAATAATTGTTGCGAACGTCTTTAACACCCTAATTTATTATTATTATTATTAGTATTATTTTATTTTAATTTATTTTAATTTTTTATATGAATATAAAAATCATAGTTTAGAGAATTGAAAGTGAAAATATTAGTAACTACAGTTAAAAGTTTGAGCTTCTAGTAATATTATAATTGTTTCACTCTGGAGGGTAATTTCTCAATTTTATCAATTTGAGTTTTTTTTTTTTGTAAAAGACAAGTGAGAAAGGGAGTTAATTAACATGCCGACCCCGATTCATGTCTCCTCTTGGTGGGACACTTGTAGTCATTAGAAATACATATACATATATATATATACACACACACACACACACACACACACACATATATATATATACACACGCACAAAGGGGAGTAGGAGAAAAATAATATTTTGTAGGCATGCATGTTTACGTTATTAGGCACGACTGATAAAACAAAAGCCAAAAGAGCATCTTACCTCGTAAACTTCGGCACTCAAAAAGTTGACGGTGAAACTTGCTAATCCCACAAATATATTTACAGTTAACAAAACATGTCATGTATTACCCATATTAATTATTCATTATATGCTTTTTTTTTTCTTTTTAATTAACAATAATAATAATGGGATTATCGGCCTAATTAATTAATTCTACAAGTTACTATGAGATTCCTTTAAATATTTTATTTGAATCATAATTGTTTTTACTTATAATATTATTTTTTAAATAGAGTATCATTTTAGAAAAAAAAAAAAACATCATCCTAAATTAATTTATCAAAATTTAAATATATAAGATATTAGTTATAAATTATCACCTCATAGTTAATCATCATTATTATTTTATATGACAATTCAAGTAATTATATAAAAATTTGTTTTTATTTTTCGTAGTAGGTCGAAAGTATAATTAATTTATATTAGATATAAAGAAAATTAGACATTTCGTACGGTATATAAAAATAGGTTATATATATATATATGAAGTCCATTCCAAAATATAGTTTCTTGGATACAAGCAGATAGCTTAATTGTCCCCCCCCCACATGGAGCGACAATTTCAATTAAACCTGTCCGCCTCACAATTAGCACCCTTAATTAAGTTGGTGCAACTTTTTGGCAAACGTCATGCTTAATTTTTTGAAAAAACTATTATATATAATATATGTGTATATATAGAGGAAGCGTAAGTTAAATATGAAGGCCAAATTAATTATGATGTAACTGCCTCAGGTTCGTCACTGAAAAGGAGTGGTGGTATAATGAATGGAAATAAAACTGAGTTAGAAAGCTAATAGTATGATTAATACATAATTGTCTTCGTTTAGAGAGAATCAACTAATTTTTTTTTTCTTTTCTCTCTAAAAAAGTGATTAAGAAAGTAGGTTTTCTTGAAAGCATCATTAGGGAGTAATTAATTAATTAATTAATTAATAGTAACATGAGATGGTGACTAAATATTTTTATTGGTAAACCAGAATCAAATTGGCGGCATTAGAGTAGAGAGGTTGTTGATAAGTTGTCTTGTTTTGGAGCTTAGAAGAAGGCTAATTAGTTTGCTTACTTGTTGCTTTCTCTCTTATAGTTATTTGATTATAACAAATGGGTTAGGCCAATTATTGATGATGTGGTAATCATTTATGCTAAACATCGTAATTAAAACTCTTCACCACCACCACCACCATCACCACCACCATCAAGTCTCATCTCCCACTCATCCACTTCTTTAATACCAATTATCATTCATATCCTACAATATCAAGCTTGAAAATAGCTTAAGTTACCAGTTCATTATACTAAAGAAAAAAGAGAAAAGATTGTCCAACAAAATTTTTCTGGAATTGCACAAATCTTTCCTCCAAATTGTTTCTGTGAAAATAATCATAGTCAAGAAGAGGTGAGAAGCACAACAAGAACGAAGCTGCATCTCCCCTCAACATGGCCTTTATAAGCTAAATTTTGATGCACTGGTGCAAAATGGAGGACAGATGGGTTTGGGCGCTATTTGTGGAGATTGGTGCGGAGGTTCATTTTTTCCGGGACGAGAATTCTAGCTCTTAAGGAGTGTAAAAGTGGCAGAAGTTCTAACCATAATGTATAATATGGAGAAAACGTTAGTCGCGGGATTCAGCAGCTAATGGTTGAGGAAGACTCTGAAAATTATTATCAACTCGCTGAGACCTACTGGTACATCTTTATCTGATATATGAATGCTAGTTGAGGATGTTTTATCTCATTGACAATTTTTTTTTCCCAACCTTTTCTTATTGTTGGACTTCAAAAATATGTATTTGTGTAACCTACCGTTCCCAGGTTCGATGGCTAATGAATTTTAACTATGGTTACCAGTTCATGGGTTCCAGCAACGCACACAAAAACATGCATCCTTCTTCTTCTTCTCTTAAAATAAGTTACTTTTAAAAAAAAAAATATGTAATTTGTAGCCAATATTGAAAACAATTAGATGATGACAAAATTATCAACGATTGGTATTCCTTATTTCTATTCAATATCGTACGATATAGTTTTGTAATTTTTGCTAAGTGATTATTGAATTTTTTCCTTATAATAAGACGGATTGATGCGATCTGACCCATTATCAGAGATCAATCCTGAACCAGACAGATCTGATATACGAAATATGGGATTGGAATTTCACTAAGTCGATTCTTTTTAGTGAGGGAGGCCATAAAATTGTGTGATAACTCTGTGGTTGTTTAGGAGCCTCTTAATTTCTTGGCTCCCCTGGGATTTTTTATTAATATATGGTGGGTGGGTGTTTTTTTGGCCCAAAAAAATTATGGGATTACATCACATAATTATACTACAATCTCGACCACAATTTTTTTCTTTTTGGTGCAACCAAACAACCTAATTGAAGATTCAATACAAATTTAGTTAGCTTTTTGACAATGACCATACCAACATATTCAAAGAGCATTGAACTGAAACAAACAGTAAACTAAAAGCATCCGCTCTTTTTTGTGTGCTCAGCAGTTAGGTTAGGTTTACTTAAAAGCATATGGCTGAAAGGGCAGAAAGCTTCTTTTAAAAGTCACCGGTAGTTTACTCCTTTTTAATGAAAAGATATAAACGTATATATATGACAGAGAGAGAATCCATACGTCACGTTTGTAAGGACAAAAATAAACATACACCTGTTGCCTTTGACAATAAATTGTTGGTGCTTGTATGCATACAGATTTTTCCGCTGATTAATCGACTTCTCTGTTTCTATATAAAGACAGCATGGTCATCTTTAGCAGTAATCTGAAACCAGCTAATCAAAGCAATAGCGGGAACAATTCAAAAGAAGTTTTTAACAAGCAAAACAAGTCCGAACATGTGCTTCAAGTAACACCATCTCCTTCGCATGTAAACTTTCAGTAAGTAAGAAAAAGCATTAAATCATTTTGATATCTACCAAAAAAAAGTTGTTTAACAGGTCATACTCCAAACAGGCAACAAGGGAAGTATATAAATGACACTGCACCTGCTGAAGCCAGATCATTCTATGTTTTGACTGGCATTACATGGTCTTACTTTTTGATTTAGGGAGACATGAAGTGTCCTGGCAGCCGGTACTGCAGAGTCTCCTCTCTTGACAATTTTCTCCAGTACTGCAGCCTTCTCAGACGGCAATCTAGCATTCACATTGGTGGACTGAACCAGTTTGTTTGCTGTTTCCAGAGCAGTGCGTGGCTGGAAATGATGAGGACAAAAATAAGGATTTTAGGAGAAAATAGAGAAGGTCAACAGTAAGAGTTTTTTTATAAAAAAAAAATTTGCGGACTTGTCCATAAACAGACTGAGGGTGTAAGCAACAATTCCCCAGCAGTTTGGACAGAAAGGAATGGAGTTCTATGCAAGACAGTGTTCTCTCCAACAATAAAACAAATGCAAACTGAAAACTATATGCTAAAAGCACACATACCAAACACCACACCCAACTCACTCTCTCTTAGGGCATCGTGCTTTTTCAGTTCTAGGTTAAAATACACTAAGTTTCCTGTTGGCCGTCAATACATAACGAAGAATCAGCAGGTGAAAAACAAATTTACCCGCCCTTCAACCCGTAAGACAATTGTTGTGCATAGAATTTCTCTAAAATGTACAACACCAGGATAATTGATGCAAAGCTGTCTGCATATCCATAACTCTGCAAAGATTAGCCATTACCTTCAAAGTCAAACCTGTCCATGAGTGGTCAGAGCCCGCAAGTGCCTCATTCAAGGTGTTGTAATTTTCCTAAGGAAAAAATATTGGATTTATACTGGTTATGCTACAAATAGTAGATGGCTAATATCTTATGAACACATATTTAACAAAATAGGAAAACAATAAACTTCTCATAAGCTAACTAGTAAAATCAAACTAACTATAGATACAACCAGACTAACCAGTCAAGTAAATCTGCTTATCAGAATTGATCACAAGTCGTTCTGAGAAATATTCTAATTCTACATCAAGAATAAACAACACAAAGGCGGCACCAACTAGCAATCCATTCACCAAAAAAGCCTAGCAATATGTCGGTTACTGCAGATTGGCAACTAGGATGCCTGAGTCTTTAGCTCCTATATTGACTTTAGAGATTGGCCTTGCTTTTGATATAGATTAAAAGCTAATACTCCTCTTAACCTTTTGAGTTTAATTTATATCGAGAAGAGGAAAAATTAACATCTGTAACTTCAGACTATTACCAGATTATCTTCTCCGTGCATTCTATTTGCCCTACAATAAGCAGCAAGATAGATAAAAGAAAAAAAAACTATGTAGTTCAAAGAAACAGAGATATAAAGCCTATATATCATTCAATCCTTTAGCATGTTTCGCAGCATTCGCAATACAAGATTCAAACCAAGGGTAAAAACACTAAGGCAAAAGGATTATTTCTTTAAATTTTGTATGTTGAGCTCCTTAATTCAGCTCTTGGATCCCTAGTACTTAATATTAGCCCTTCAAAAAGTATCTTGATCAGGAAAAGAACTAATAAAAATCGGTCAATTGACTAATTAAATTGCAAAAGGTAATAGGAAGTTGATATAAATATATAAAGGTCAGTGTAGAACTTGAAAGAGTCTGGTAAGATCCACAGATTGATTGGAACCGGAAATTTCCATAGATGGTGATGAAGAATGTTGGGTTTCATAATGGTCTGATGCTGCACCGGATTCTTCGATGACGTCGCTGAGCGGATCTCATATGCACAAAAACGGCCCTCCCACTCCTTTCATCTTCTCCCTCTTCCTCCACTTCTTCCCTCTTCATTTCTGCTATTAAAATGGATTCATGTCTAAGGCCTTCTTGAATTATTACCAATGCGTGAGACTCCAGACCTTTAAAATTAGGCCGTTAGCCTCGATCCATGAGCCTCAAGCCTCCCGCCTTCGGCCATAAGCTTGAGCCGCAAATATTGGGCCTTCGGTCTCAGTCCGTAGCATTAAGCCTTGGGTTCTGGCAAACACTTAGGCCATGGTCTTCGGCACGGGCCCAGGCCTTGGGCTCGGACCGGAAGATGGGCCTTACACTCAGAAACGGGCCCCGAACGTAAGGCTCGAACCTAGTCTCAAGCCTTGGGCTCAGATTCGGGCCTCGGGTCTTTGTCTTGGACCCGGGCCTCAGCCTTGGGCTAAGACGCAGGCTTCGGGTATTGGCCTACAACCAAGGCTCGGACTTAAGCTCGGACCCGGTCCTCCGGCTTGGGCTCAAAATCAGGCCTCGGGCCTTAGGCTCTAACCAGGGCCTTGAGCCTTGAGCCTTGAGCGCAAAGCCGGGCCTTGGAAATAGACTCGGACCCGGGTCTCAGGCATGGGCTCGGTCTCGGGCCACGGGCCTTGGGCATTAGGCTCGGACTCGGGTCTCAGTTGGGCTCAGACCTGGGCCTAGGGCTTCGGCTCGGACTCGGTCCTCGGCCATGGGGTCAGACCCGGCGCGCGAGCTTGGGCTTGGACCAGGGGCTTGAGCTTGGTCTCGAACCCAGATCTCAGGGTTGAGCTCGGAACCGGGCATCGGGTCTTGGGCACGGACCCACCTTGGGTCTTGGGCTTAGACTCAGCTACGTCTTGGGCAAAACCCCAGCTATGTTTCCGACTTGAACATACCTTTAGAACTTCCCAGGCTCCAGGCTCCACAACGTCCACTCTTCCATCTTCAGCTGGTTTATTCTTCACTCCCCCAACAATATTCGTCCGTTTGAACATTGGGACAGTAACGAGCAAAATGCCCCAGTCCTCCACATTCATAACAGTTACCAGATCTCCTCCGCTGAGCCTTTTCTTATCTCATTTGCAATAAGCTCTACTAGCCTCGCGCTCCAAACTAATAACCTCAGGTCTTGGGCTCAGACCCTATTCGGGATTGGGCTCGGACTCGAGTCTCGGGCTTAGGCTAGGACCAAGGCCTCGGGTTTGGGCTCGGACCCGAACATCGGGCTTGGAGTCGGACCGGGTCTCGGGCTTAGCTCATTGGGCTCAGACTCGGGCATCGGGTTTGGGCCCCGTCCCAGGCATGGGGCTTGGGCTAGGGCCCGAGCGCTGGCCTTGTGCTAGGACATAGGCCCCGTGATTAGGCTCGGGTTTGGTCTCGGACCAGGCTTGGGCCAAGACTCGTTGGGCCCAGGCATCGGGCCTTGAGCATTGGGCTCGGGTCTGAGGCTCGAACCCGGAGCCTCGAGCATTCTGCTGTAAGCCGGGCCTCAGGTTCGAGTGCAGACCCAGGCTGGGTCCTGGCCTCGGGCCTTGGGATTGACCGCAAGCCAGGTCTTGGGTCTTGGGGGAGGGGAGCGGGGAGCGGGCCCCTGATTAGGCCTTGGGTGCGAACCCGGATTTAGACCTATTTTCGACCTTGCGCTCAGACCCAATCTGCGGGACTTGTGCTCGGGCCTCGGCACACGAACCTCAGGCCTTTACTCTCGGCCGCCGGTCTTGGGGATTGGGCTTTGTCCCAGGCTCGGCCCGGGTCTGCAGCCTTGGGTGAAGAGTTGGATCGCGATTATGAAGGCGGTTCGGCTGAGTCGGGTCATAGTTGGTCTACTGTATCAGTGACCTTATAGATCAGTTCCCGGACATCCTTGATCTTCTCGCAACGTATCTTCTAGCTATAGTTCGGTTCAAGTAAGCTCTCAATGTCACCTCTACTAATGGCTTCATAAATAATTTACGCTCTCATCGTCCCCGTCTTTTGCCTCTCAAAGATTTTCTAGGGTTTTGAAGAATAATCCTTTTCCACGTTTGACACTTTCAAAATATTAGATCAACTTGGTACATTTGTCTGTATGTTAACTGCAACGTTAAACAGGGTCAAGTGCGTTTGCGTTTTCCATATCAGAGAAAGAACGGCTTGCAGGTATGAGTGGCCAAGAGAATGTAAAGCAGCAAGAAGAGTGTTCAGTCCAGCCATCTATTTGACAGGTTATTGACGATGAAACCTTTTTATTGCCCTTTATTTCGAAACTCACTGGCGCATCTCATTTTTCTCCTCTTCCTTCTTTGTTTCAGTTCAACATTTTCCTACTGAGATTGGTCTCTGTTCCACTAAATAAAAAATAGTAAAGGATTGATTTCTCAAGTTCTTAGAAAGGGGTGTTGGAAAAGCTTAGATATGTTTTCTGACAAATGCACTCAAATTAAACATTGAAAATGGTCAAGAGTTGTAAAAAAACACAAGATCATTTCTACACCAACGCATCAATGCATCACACTTTTATGTTGTTTTTCCATTCTACTCTCAATCAAGTCCCTGAATGTAAGGAGTATCAGGTGGGTGACCCTGACCTTATTCTGACTGTGTCTGAGAAAGATGCAAGGCTAAGAGGTCACCTGATTGATTGCACAGTATAGTTGCCATGGTCAAAATCTTAATGTTGTTAAAAGTAACTAGTGTGGTAAACTGTACTTCCAAAAAATATTATGAGAATAAAATTTTATATTTGCATTTGATAATATTGCATTAAGGTATTATGTGAATATATTAATTACATTTACCCTATAAAGAGAATTGCTCACCTTAAGTATATTTAGCCAAGAGTTGATAATATTACACTGTTGGAATTCAAAGTTGTCATCATATTGCCTCATATAACTTCTATATTGCTCTAATAGAAAGTAAACGATGAATAATGATTTGATTTGATTAAATTTAATCCAATGACGTGTGTGTATATACATTAAGTATATATTAAAAAAGTAGACGTGTATAATTAAAAGATGCATAGAAAGCGCCTTGAGGACTCCAGATCAGGTGGGACTACCTGCAGGTTTAAGAAAGATTCTGGTAACCATAACATAAAGCCTCCTTAGTATCATGTAAGCCACTTCAATAAAATCTCTAGAGATCCAAGTACAACAGAAAGGGCTAAAACAATGTTTAAATGTAAAAAATCGTTGAGCGAAAAACTAAATTTTATAGATAAGATACCACAATGACTTGAGCAATACATTACGTGCGAATCTCCTCACATGTCGTAGTGCCCTCATAAGAGCAATGTCCAAACCCAGAGCAGCTACTTCAATCTCTGCTACCTCTATAGTAGCTGATGAAGGGATACACATACCAACCAATTGCCAAAATTCTCCCGTTGTCATTCCCGCAAATTTCTGCTGTACCTGCCCACCCATCCGATGGACATTAAGTATCGGAATTTATTTTTACCATGTCATATGATGTGGAAACCCAAGCTCGTAATCTCGATAAAAGATCCTCCATGGTTCCATTTTGTGGAGGATAAACTGCAAGCTCATGATTTTATCCCATCTCATTTTACCGAAAGTTCCAAGTTTTTGGATTAACCGAACTGAATTGCTACAATTCATTTATGGATCTCCATTGATTGCTCTTACACCATATCCCTCAAAAGACCAACATGATCCATTTCATTCTATGAATCCATTGATTCCTCTACCACCATATCCCTCAAAAGACCAACATGAACCATATCAGTGTGAATAAATGAGAATCCTGTGTAAGTTTCTTCACACACTGTAAGAAACATTCCCTCAATAGATGAACAATGGTTTCCTCTGATTCCCTATACATGAGGGCATCGACATCAATCCCCAACCTTTTTATGAACAAATTGAAGATAATTTGTTTAACAAAAATTAACACAAACATTAACATGGAAAAAGCTTTTCATATCTTATTTTGCTTCCTTATGCACGATGGACACAAGTCGTGAGCATCAATACAAGTGAAAAGAAAATACAGTGTCATGAACCCTGAAGAATATGGGAACCTCCATTTCAGCTCCACTTCTTAAAGGTTAAAGAACTACAGGAAGGACGTGTTACAACTTGCTAGTACAATGACTCAGATGGACATTAAGAAACTTCAAAGAAAACTAAACTGAGCGACCCAAAACCAAAAAACCATTTGGGCTGCAGTTCAACAAGATAATTATTTTAAGGGGAAAAATGCACATGAAGTTTGCCCCAAGAATCTGTTGCCAAACCCGCATGTAGGTGAGTCATATAATGGCAATAACTGGCCAACAAAAACAAGAGCCAATTCCAGCAAGCAGCTTCTATTAAAAATAGCCACTAAACCGGGAACAACCAGGATCTCACCCTTATCAATGCCTCCTACAACATGTTTCAGCATCAAATATCAGCTGGTCTCAGGCAAACATAAAAACCATGCATCTTCATGCCCTAAAATTCTACTTCAACTATACACTAATTGTTTTTATCTACAAAAAGCTTTCCCCATTCCTTCCAAAGCTCCATTTTACCTTCATTGCTGCAAACATCTTTGTTGACTTATCATCTCAAATATGAACTAATGTAAAGCCTTATACCAATGTCAATGGGCCCATCATCTCCACCAACCGCATGGAGTGCTACTGGTATTGTAGAAAGCTGACGTATTGTTAGGGGGAAAACTTCAGGAGCAATCTCTTGGTTTAATTCAAGAGTGTTATTTGCCTTCGTGCCTGATTTCCACACTCAAGTCACAAGGACTTTATAATACATGCAGCCTCATTTTATTGCCCTGTCATAACCTGGAGCACCTTTCCTAGAAGAACGTCTGTGGGCACATAAACTAAGGACCAATGTAGAAGTAGCCTCAAGCCATTCAACAGTCAAGCCTTCAACATCATCATAATATATTCGACGTTCAATCTGAAAGCAGATACTGAATTAGAAACCAAAAATAATTGTCAATAACAGTTATAATCAACGAGAATACAGGGGCATAGAGCAACTTACAGCTAACTTATGAATATAGATGGACATAAACCTTGGGCCAAGACCCAATACTCTAGCTTCTGAGAACAAAATCTGCAGAAAGGCAAGACAGAAGTTGAACTATCTGTAGCAAATGAAAAACACAGGCAGTAACCAAAAGACCCACATGACGACGATTTTGGGTCAAAACAACTAAAAAGACATTTTTTAAGTCAATGGTTATGTCTACTTCCCCCTTACAATCAAACTCTATTCCGACTTCAGCCCCTAATAAGCTTCCGCAGGTTAATCCATGCACTTGTGCATGTGCATAAGGAGCATGGGGACATTGGGGGAAAGAGAGAGAAGTTAAAAATGACGACTTCATGAGTATACACGTTGGATCAAATATTACATATAAAAACCTACCAAAATAATAGAACCTCAGGATCAAATTCAACAGGGAAAACAATAGCAACAGTAATATGATAGAGAAAGTCAAAAAACCACAACCTTTCTGCATACATAAGAAGGAAACTACATTTGATATCTTTTAGTACCTTACATAATTGCCATCAGAAAAAGAAAATTCCAATTAGTCTTCATATAATACATCCCCTTAATCGTGCATATATTAAGTTCAATAAATAAATGACATGTCTACTCCATCAACTATAACTCCTAACGCATAGATACCACAAATTTATCCTATTATAGAATGTGAAAAATAAGTCTATGTCATAGATACCACATAGTACAAAATTCATAACCAAACATTATATAAATTTCAAATTTTTTTCCAGTCCTAAAAGAAATACATTTACTTCTTTCATTAGCCATGGAAAAAGTACATTTTACTCATCCATGAAAGATTCAGTAAAGAAATTATTTTAACTATGCATTCACTTGTTCAAGTACATTCATAATTTTCTCCGATTAAAACTAAAGTTTTCTGAAAAAAAGCATTGTCCCTCCCTGCCCCAGACACAGAAGAGTTGTTTGCTTTATCGCCACATACAGTAGAGGAGCTTGCATAGAGAAAAATCATGTGATAATGCAGGAATTTTACATTGCAACACTTAGCTTTCAGACGTAGTACATTCTATTCTCAATTGTCAGCTTTTCATGATGCAGAACAGTACCATGCGGGAGTTACGTATACATACCTCTTTTTTCTTCAGCAATACCCATGTATAGAGTTTATCGCAGGCATCTTTAACATGCCTACCCGCTAGCTTCCTCTCATTGCAATAAGCTGCAACATCTGCAAGGATATCTGTGCATGGAACTCCATGCTTTAATGCTGCAGTTGACAATATTTCCCTGCCTTCAACAGATTCTGCTGCATCTTTATCAAATTTGATACTAGTGAAGCATCTTTTCACAACCTGCCCTTGGTTTTCCTTCCATGATGTTTTTCTTCGCTCTAAATACAACTCCTCAGCCTCAATTGCAGCTGCCAGTGTCCGATGCACCACAATATCTGGATAACGACGCAGTGGTGAAGTAAAATGAGTGTAGACTGGAACAGCCAGGGCGTAGTGACCCCAATCAGTCACATTGTCCTTTAAATTACCACTACAAAAGTATGAGGCCAACTGCATTGGTTTCGCAGCATATGAGATAAGAATATCAATAAGCACTGAATCATCCTTTAGCTTTTCCCTAATTCGCTCCAAAGACAGATGAAACTGACCAGAGGAAGAAGTATCTAGCTCTAAACCATGTTTATAACAAAAAGCTTCAAACTCTTTAAGCTTCCTCATATTTGGTTCAGGGTGTCTCCGCAATAATGCACTATCTGGAAAAGCCCTGGATAGAATTTCAGCAGCCGTCCTGTTTGCCAAAAGCATAAACTCCTCAACAAGAAAATTCGAGTCCTTCTGACAAGAAAGCATACTATCATATGGAATTCCATTTTCATCAAATAAAAAAACAGGTTTGGAACTCTCAAGCTGTAAAGCCCCATCATCAAATCTCTTCTTCTTCAAAATTTCTGAAACTTCATGCAGGCTTTTAACAGATCTAATTATGTCTTCCCATTCAACAGGGCCATGCAACTGAGGACACCCATTTACTAAGGTGCTAGGATCCCTCATATCATTCACTCCACCAATTATATCCTGAGCAAAATCATATGAAAGCTTGCAACAAGACCGTATCATGGTGCGACCAATCCAACGATCTATGACATCCCCCACACTGTTTAGGTCCCAAAAGATAGAAAATGCAAGTCTATCTACTCCAGGATTCAAAGAACCTATTTCCTCGGAAAGCACTGCCGGCAACATTGGCAACTTACTTCTCAGCATATAGATACTTGTTGATCGAATCTGTGCTTCCATGTCCAAGGCTGTGTCAGGTAAAACAAAATATGAGACATCAGCAATGTGCACACCAACTCTAGAAATGCCCCCATATAAATGTTCAATGGATAGAGCATCATCAAGATCAGTAGCTGTGGCAGGATCAATAGTAAATACACACAAATTTCTAAGGTCTGTCCTACGCTGAAATTCTTCTTGTGGAACCTCCCAAGGGATAGGTGGAAGACAGGAAAGAGATTCATGAGAGAACTCAGAAGAAATAATTGCATTTTCATATAATATAGCATTGATCTGGGCTTGCAATTCATTGCCACATCCCAAAACATCCATGACACAGGCTCGTGGAAAAGGACTTTCTTCACTCCAATCATCAAGCTGTGCAGCAACCAGCTCCATTTCAACTGTTTCATCCCCACTCTCCAGTCTTTTCTTGATGCAATCAGGCAAGTCTCTAATAAGAACCACCATGTTAGGAAATTTTGGGTCATTTGGCATTAACTGGATGTACTCATTGTCCGAAACTGAAAACAAAGACTGGTTCTTCTTCGTGTCTTTGTGACATTCCCGGTAGAAAACCACTGTTTGACATTTAGAAACCAACAATAGCATCCCGACGACGAGACTTTTCAATAATCGCGACGACCCTGCCAGTTGGTCGTTTAGATGGGAATGAACTAATAGTGGCACATAAATTCTCCACAGCATTAACACGTCCATCAATCCCACAAGATGAACCTACATGTGAGGAATCTAACACGGTGGGGTAATGGCTATTGACACAAGTAGAACCTACTTGTCCAACATCTTGAGAATGAGAAGTTTCTCCAGTAAAAGAACCCCCATTGCAATGTAATCGCTTCTCCAAAGACACCCCAGTCCTGAACTGGCCATTCTCATAATGCACATCTGCCTTACCTTTACCCTTGTGGCCACCACTAGCCAGCTCATCTATTTCTGGACGCATACAACAATCTTCTGGCTGTGGAGAAATATTGGAAAATCCCTTCATTTTGGTCCATAAAGATGAAGGATCAACCTTGATGACCACAATATCTCCCTCAACCTACATGACAGAGAAAAAAATGGTATTTCACAACCATTAGAAAAGCCTGGGCCATTCAAATACTTTTTGGAAAGAAAACCAGATTTCTGCATCCTTTAGAAATGACATCCACTGCCCAAAGCATGCACACTTTGTGGGATGATAAAAGAAGCTGTATCCCAGATATATTGCCAATTACTAAGCAAACAGAGAAAAAGCATAAGGAACACAACAAACCATAAAAGGTCTCGATACTTACAGCTCTATTCTGAAATGCCATTCCACTAATCAAAACATCTATTTGTAGTCCTTCAATTTTGCAATAGGCCTATATGAACAAAAGAAAGCATGCACATTATTTAATACATGATATATGATGAGCACTGTCTAACATTGACAGCTTAACTAGAATCTCTAAATTGAAAAAAGAATGAAACTAGCACCAACCTCCATTCGGTTGTGAGCATTCACATGAAACAATGCCTTAAAAACTTCGCCTTTCTGTCATCATTAAGGAAAAATTGCAAAATTAAGTTCAGTGGCACTTGCTCCTTCCTAGACATATCTAATTTCTACATACACAACAATGATAAATAAGTTTGCAAATTAGACATGTTAGAACATATCCAGACAAACCTCTAATGCTTCATTCACAGCATCAATAGACCAGTGAGGAGCAAAAAGTCTACGTAAAGCAGAAGCCTCAACACCAAGCATTTCACCATTTGCAAATGTCCCAGGCAAGCTTCCACATGCAAGTGGTTCAGGACATGACTTTGAAAACATTCTTCCACGAAAATCAGCAGGAAAACCATGCTGATCATCCATCCTTTTCGTACCATCTAGCTCTGGTCGCTCATACACATGCATTGAAGGCATAGAAACGAAAGCAACATTGGACGCTCTGGTCACACCATGGTCATTCAGATTATGCATGCCTGATCCTGACTGCTTTGATGATAAATGATCCATAGATGAGGGCGAAATTTTTGCTTTGCCACCATTTTTTGAGTCCTCTGGAACCTCCCCATGAATTTCATCTACTACACCAGAAGCTGTTCCAAAATACAATATATGAAAAGAAAGCTAAAGTCATTCAGCATTTTGAAAAGCTAGCTGAATGTGCTGGAGAAAAGAAACTAATTCAGAACGAATAAAAACAAATATCGGTGGTACTTATTTAGGTGAAGGGACGTAATGTACAATTTAAGTCACAAGAGTTCTAAATTTCAGGACAAGATATTGTGACTGCCGTTAATTATTCGGACAATCACTGTTACAACAAACGAAAAAGCACATGTTCGGAAACTCCAAGTTGATTGACTTTAATTACTAAAGAACAACCCCAAATCAGCACCATGGAGGAATTGTCTTAACAAACATTACTTCCAACTAATATGCATCTGAAATTCTTGCAGGGCATTCAACTACCTGCCACCTAAAGATAATTTTTAAGATCTCAAATGTGGAAACTGACACCTAAAGGAAACAAAACATTCAGGTCGTCCGTCAATCTCTGAAGAGATTGGATGCACAGAGTACATTACAGACAATCATGGCGTTTAGTACCAATGAGAGGCACCAAATATACGTGACTTTGAAACTGCCACCTAAAGGAAACAAAAACATTCAGGTTGCCCATCAATCTCTTCGGAGATTGAATGTACGGAGAGTACAGAGTAGACAATCATGGCGTCCGGTAAGAATGAGAGGCACCAAATCTACCTGAATTTGAAACTGTGAAGGACTATTTCAGTACCATAGATAAAATATGACAACCGTTCAAGGTGAACAAGCAACTTTCTTCATCATTCCAGTATCTAAATTGTTCTCCACAGCGGTTGAGCAGTAGCTAAATAAACTTTAGGATACCGACAAATGTAAGGGAAGTAAAAAACGACGAAAAGAAAAAAATTCAACGACCTACAGAGTCGAATGTACTTGACTGAAAAAGACGCACTTAAATAATTCACAAGAACAGTGGAATTCACTATTCAAAATAACTATAAACAGTATCAGAACAGCATAAATTTCACATTCAACAGTTAAAAATCACGATTTCTTCCCTCAACCGAAATTAAAAAAAATACCAATATTTCAACAGTACAAGATACCTGAGTTGTGCTTCGATCGGCGATTAGATCGGCGTCTTCTCCTCTTCTCCTTATCACCATCCTCAACCCTCTCAACTACAGCCATGGGTTGCTCATCAGTAACACCCTTCATGACTTAATCCAAGAAATTTAACAAATCAATTATAAATCTCAGTCAACTAAAGAAATGATTAACCCCAACAACAGATCAGATAAAATTGAAGGTTTGGAAAAAAATAAAAAACTGGGTATCTTCCGATTAGAAAAAAAATTACTCGGAAAAACCTCAGTCAAGTAAACAGAAGTACAACTTCCAAAAAAAAAATAAAGGAAAATGAAAAACAGTAGGAGAAACTAAGAACAAGAAAGGAACCAGATGAAGAGAAGAGGATTAGGGTTTTATAATAACCAACAAAAAGAAGAAGAAGAAGGAATCTTTTTTCCTTAGAGAGAGAATGAAAGAGAGGGAGCGTTTGGTAGGGGAAATTTCTAGAGAGAGAAAGTAGTGGAGATGGAGAAAAAAAAAAGGATAACTATGATTGGTCGGCGTAGACAAGGGGCGCCGACTATCGATTCCTTTGTCTTCCCTCCTCCTTTTCTTTCCCCTTTTCTTTTTCCTTCTCTCTGAGTCTTGGTTTGGTTTTTCCCCTCTATTAGTCTTCCATTTTCTTTTTACATTTTTCTTTTCGCTTCGCACGTACGAGTTGAGTTCGAGCTGGTTGATGACTGCACCTGGATCTTTAGCCACGTGTCACTGGTACAACCCTTGGGATTTCTATACTCATCGCCGTCGCTTTACTTATGGGCGATGCTAAATTGCGCCGACCGGCGAATTGTTAGGTGCTTGCTTTAAACTGTTTATATGCATTAACTTATTCTTAAATTTTACAACATACAAAAATTTAATTAATATTTTAATTTTAAAAAAATATATATAATTTATTTTTATCAATTAAGTTTTAATTAAACATGTAGTAAAATATCAGCAAAAATAACACTTCTATTTAATAAATTTGATTCAAAATAAAAGTTTGTTTGATCTCGAATTGTAAGGTTTTGAAGGAAATTAAATATTGAAGAACCTAAAGGAGAAAATGGAAGAACTAGGAAAGGGAAACACAAAAGAGGTGACAGCTTAGAAAAACCCTAGTAGGATTAATTTTTTGTTAACGATTTCTTAATGCTTTTTACTACAAAAAATAATCCTTAAATACTTAGGATAAAAAAAGACACACATACTCCTCAATCACATAGTTATTCTTTCTTTTTAACCCTAAATATATATATATATATATGCACGTATACACATACAATAGATATGGACTCTTATTCAAGATACTACTACTGATTTAACACACAAGTTCAGTAAATGATGTTTTCATATCCCTCCACTAGATAGAGAACAAATATTTTATACTCTCATCTCGGTCATGTGAGAATTAAGTAGCCTACTTATAAGTACCTTGATAAGAATGTCTGTCACTTGTTTTTCACTGCTTATATATTTTGTCACAATACTTCCATCCTGAATTTTTTTCTGAATCAAATGGTAGTTCAATTTTATGTGTTTGTTTCTTCACAAAATACATTATTAACTGTAATATGTACCACAATCTTATTATCACAATGCATGATAATAGTTTGTGGATGTTCAATTCATAAATTATTTAAGAGATATTTTACTTAGGTTAACTCACAATAGACCCTGATCATTGTTTCGTATTCAACTTCAATAAAGGAGCAAAATATAATATGTTGTTTTTTTACTTTAAACATATTAAGGAAGACCCAAGAAAAACACAATATTTTATAATAAATCTTCAGTATCTTAGCAAGCTCTCCATAACTATCACTATAAGCATTAAGCTGCAATTTGAAAGTGCTTGAATAAAATAGCCTTGTATAGATGCATGCTTAATATATTTCAAACTCTATATGCGACAGTGAGATGTTATGTAATAACCCGGCCTGAGAGAAACAAACTCAACCCATCTACTTCTTACAAATAGGGAACGCCAAAATGGCATTGTTTTTTGATCTGCTTATGAGAAGCAGATGGGTTGGGTTTGTTTCTCTCGTGTCGGGTTATTACACATTAATCTTTTTATTACTCTATGAATTGACTCATAAGTTATATTGGACAGTGCATGTTTGTCATTGTAAGAGTTAGATGCATGAGTCTTCCAATAAGCCGTATATATATGGTTGGATATGAAATTAGCTCATTATTATCGTTTGACAGTTTGAGATTTTAGCCTAAGAGCCAACATAGAGGTTTTAGCACCCAAATTCCCTATGTCTTTCAACAAATTCGTAATATATTTATGTTTATATATATGATCTCTTTATTGGATCGTGCAATCTTAATACTAATAAAGTACTTGAGGTCTCTTATGTTTTTAATCTTAAATTTATTATTCATCTCATATTATAAGTTATCTATTGTAATCACATTATTTCCTATAATAATTTTATATCATTAATATAAAACAAAAGAACAGTGAAGTCCTTTATATTTGTCCATATAAAAAAATAATAAGCATTACATTGTGTAAACCTTTGCTAAATGATAAAGACTAAGAATTTCGTATACCACTATCGTGAATCTTGCTTGAGATCATCAATGTTTTTAAGCAGTTATACACTTTTAGTTTTTTCTTAATATGATAGTCTGACAGTAATTCTATATGAACTTTTTCATTCAAAAAATATTTTTTAACATTAAATTGACGGAACTAACCTTTGATAAGTGTCAAAGAAATAAGTAATATCATTAAACTTGAATTTATTTATCCATTTGCACGATATAACTCTTTTTCTACATGGTAAATTAGTAAATATCTTTATTTTATTATGTTATAATACATTAATTTAATCTTTTATTGTTTTCACCTAATTTGCATGTAGCGCCCGGGAAATTGAAGAAGAAAAAAAAAAAAAAAGAGGCCACGTCAGCAGCCACGTCAGCATACCCAGTCAGCAGTCCCGGCCAACCGGGACCTACCACGTGGCAAGACCACGTCGATCCGGGACGGGCCACGTTGGCGATCCCACGTGTACGCGATCGGACGGCCCAGATCAAGCGTGCGATCGGACGGCCCAGATGCAATCGCACGGACGGCCCATATTCAATCAAAAACGGACGACCCAGATTAAATCAAAATGGACGGCTGAGATCAAAAGGCAAAAGGGTATAAATAGAACCCCCACACCAGACCACAAAACCCTAGCCGCCTGCCCTCACCGGAGAAGACGAACCAGAAGCCGGCCGCCGCCACCCGCTGCCGCACCGGGGAGATTTCCGACCGCCGATCGAGGTAAATTTCATACCCCCGACTCGTTTTTCCACGCTGATTTCCCATGTGGCCAAGTCGGAGCCAAAATCCCGGCCAAAAGGCCGGAAAATACGGCCGAAACCCAGCGGCGCTGCCGCACCCCTCCTCGATTTTTGCCTCCGATGAGGCCCTTCCCGGCCTCCGTTTAATGCAATTTTTATATCACCGTGATCACCATTCTTTTCTCTACAGGTTGATCGGAGCCGAATCACCAAAACACGAACTTCACGGGAGAGCCGCCGCACCCGAGAGCACCGCCGCCGGTAAGCTTCGGTTTTTCGTAATTTGTTGGCCCCCCGAGGGCCCTAGGGTTGTTTAATCTCGAGGATCGATGCAAGTGCGGCCGAATTCGGCCGGAAATGGCCAAACCGAAGCGAATCGCCGCCGCAAGCAGCGGCGCTGTCGCCGGAGCACGGCGGAGCCGCCGTGCCGGAATTGCGATATTGGCCAAAAAGGGGCCCTGGGCCTAATTTGGGATTTTTTGGAACACGTGCAGGTACCAGTAGTGCGTTTCAGTTCCCCGGAAAAAATTCAGGAAAAATTAGGAACAGCTCGTAGGCGCACTGTGAAGTCGTGTTCGGACCCCGAAACGAGTAAGGACCCCTCACCCTATTTCCTATCATGGTATTAAAGTTCAATAAATGATAAAATGGTATTTCATGAATCAACGAATGTGTAAAATTGCTTAAGGTCGCTAATGGAGCCCGAGTCTAGTGTGTTTGTCGGTTAACTGTTATTTGGCCTGTTTTACAGTTTTAAATGCAGTATGAAGTTTGATGTTTTCATTTTATAGTTTCGTGTGCATATTTTACTGTTTTACTGATTATGGATTGAATGATTGGGATATTGATGCTGTATGTTGTCTGTTTGGCATAAATTACCGTTTTGCTTGTTTGTATGTAGATTGATGATGCTGACTGAGAAAAAAGAGAATGAAAGATTATGTAAATGGGTAATTGTATAATGTGGTCAGCCTGACTAGATATCCTGGGAGATGGTGGACGGACCGGGTCCGTAGGGAACCCTACCGGGATTGTGGTCTCCCATACCGGACGGGGTATGAAGATCTTATGTGTTTTGGCGCCCATACCGGACGGGGTATGGGGACGGCCCGTTTCACCCTCATACCGGACGGGATAATGGAGTTTATAGTTTTGGCGCCCATACCAGACGGGGTATGGAGACGGCCCTGGAATCTGATTTCAAGTGTTAAGGGTTAACGGGTAGCGGGACCCCTATGGATCCCCATGGATACTAGTGGGCTGGTAAATGAGGAAAATATGTTGTGTAACGGTTGAATTACAAAAGGCTTGATAAGTATTATGTTATACAGTTCATATATGATTTCATGATGATGATAATGTTATTGCTTTCGTATACTGTTTTATGGATTCCATCGAGGTAAGTGAATTGTGAAGGATTTATTATTGATAAAATAATTTGTTGTAAATTATGCTCCATTGGTCTTTTTGTGTTTTCTACCCATTTTTACCTCCGTGACGGTGAGATATCGTGATGTCTTTACTGGGCTAGTGTAGCTCATTCCTTATTTAATCATTTCAGATCAAGAAGACATCGTTCCCGAGCCGGTTCCGCAGGAGGACGACAAATGGGACGCCTAAAGACTCCGTAGTCATATTCGTAGCTTTTACTTTCAAGTTTCTCATTTAGGTAGTTTGATCTTTTATATTTTGTGAGCACGTTTTTTGTTTTAGTGTAAGGGATGTTAATCGAATTTTGACTTCACTTCCGCATTTGATATTTTTAATACACATTTCATTTTAAATTTTCGGGGCCGTTACATTGTATTATGGCCAACCTTTTGGTATGAGATTGGCTCACTATGTGAATTGATAGCCAATATATGTCTTTTTTATTTGTCATTATTTACAACATATGAAACATTAGAGGTTAAAGAATAACATTACTTGCCATTTGATTAACTACATAAGGTAAGTGTGGGCGTGTGATTGGAAGTTCAACCTATTTACACATAAAGTCTTTTAGATAAGAGGGAGGTCTTCAAAATTTGGTTCATTTTTCTTACCATATAAGGATGGTTAGTGTTGCGTTCATCTTGCATTGAAGTCTCAAATACTTTATTTCCACCAAGTATAGGTATTTAGGTTGATGAGCTTAATTTGATATCATCTAGGTGGTCAATATGATTGTTTGTGTCCTTAAAATCAAGTTTTATGTTCGTATTCGAGTAAAACAATATGTGCGTTTTATGGTTCAAGGTAATTCATTATTGGATTATTATCACTAGTGAGATTGTTGGTTGTATTATTGTAATGAAATATGTTGTTTACGAGATTTGTACTA